AGCCATCATTGTTGTTTGGCGGGTCCGGGCTGGGGATTTGAACCTGCCACCTTAGGTGTACATGGCTGGCGCCTTAGCCGGTTGAGCCTGAACACCTTCTGCGCAGCCTCCTCTCTGGGCGCCACTGTTTACACCTTGTGTGTTCCTTTTCACTTGCTCCCCTGCAGAAAATCCTCCCACATGGCTTGACCTGTGTCTGTCTTAGGTCCCAGAGAGCTAAACGCTGCACGGAAAAGCCCGGGCTGCGACTGGCGGAGCCTGCACCCGGGAGGAGACACCGAGGAACCTGTGTCCACGGAACCAGCGAGTCTTTAAGCCAGACTGATTATTTTGTCCTTTGCAGAAAAGGAGCCTTGCTGTTCAACAACATATTCTCCATCGTGCCTGCGATCTTAATGGGATGCAGCAAAGTCGCCAAGTCATTTGAGATGATAATTATTTCCCGACTTTTGGTGGGAATATGTGCAGGTAAACAGTGCCACTGGCCGCTCCCCTTCTGCTGAGATCTCTTGGGAGGAGGAGTGCTCCCGGGGGCAGAACCTGGCTGGGTCTCTGGAGCACATACAGACAGTCCAGCTGTTCCTGTGCCTTGGCTGTAACGTGGATGTTCTGCCCCATGGCTACAGCAGGCAGATCTTTTTGGGGGGTGTTTCCTGAAAAGACAGCTGTTCTTTGAAAGGCTGAAATACAGAATGTTAAATCGGGAAGAGTCCTTCCAATCCAGTCCTTTCTCTCAATAGTTTTGAAACTGTTAAGACTTTGTACTGCCAGGCCTGTAATCCCAGCACTTGGGAGGCCAAGGTGGGTGGATCGCCTGAGCTCACAGGTTCCAAACCAGCCTGAGTTAGAGTGAGATGCCATCTCTAAAAATAGCCAGTCGTTGTGGCAGGTGCCTATAGTCCCAGCTACTCAGGAGGCTGAGGCAAGAGAATTGTTTAAGCCCAGGAGTTTGAGGTTGCTGTGAGCTGTAATGCCACGGCACTCTACCCAGGGAGACAGCTAGAGGCTCTGTCTCAAAAAAAAATAAAAAAGAAAAAAGAAAAAGAAAATCACCCCCTGGTAACTGGAAAAAGACATG